ATGGCCATGCAAAAATCAGTTATTAAAGATTAGTTTATCAAATGATTAAGCTTTAATTTATATATTGACTGATTACTCTTTATACTGTATCCAAAAGAATAGCATAGAAGCAGTTCAACAAAACATTTAAATATACTGTAAGAATTAAAGAATTAAAGTCAAACTATATTTCAGTGGCACTTTAGATTTGACTTAGGCAAGTTTGACTGTACAGTAACTTATAAAATTACAGTATATAACAAATTTGGCTTTAAAATAATGAACACCAAAAACAAGTAAATAAAAACAGTTTAATATTGACTTTTAAAATATTCTTTGGTAATTGGCATTCATAAATTCAGTACTTGTATTGTATTATTATACAGTGGTATTATTGAATAGGAATATTGGTAAATTATGAAACATGAAGTACTTACACCTCTTTATGTACAATAGAACTTCCTATAGTTTATCATAAAAATCAATGCAAGTTGCATTGGAATGGTAAAAATGCCTAAAACTGCCTTCCACTAGAGTAGTCATCAGTACAGCATAAAAGTTGTGGCACCACTGTAAGCCATCCCATTCCCTTCAACTGTTTTCTAGCTTACTATATACATGGCCAACACTCCCCAGACCAGTGACTCTTCTTATACCCGATTCACACGTGAAGTTAAATTTAACAAAAAGTAACAAATTGTAACCGAGCGATCTCCCGAGTTATTCCTACCGAGATAAAAAGCATTCACACGCGTCTGTAAGGTAATGCCAAAGTCGTGTAAAATTTACTCAGTGTTTATTCAATGAATCATTTTTTCCCCTACTGCGATATAGGTCTAGTCTAGGCCTAGTTGAGAACCCCTGTCACAAATGGACTGTTGAACTCACCATCACTGTAAACATTCGAAGCAATCAATGCCCTTAACAACTGCTGTAAACTACTACTACTACTAAACTANNAGCTTCCAACGTTTCTGTCGACTCTTGATAATACTAGTAATAGTACTAACACCATCCCGACGTTCATTTTATGTATATCTTCTTCTTCTACCATTACTAATTAACATCAATAACAAGGGTAATGCATGTCTGCAGAAGGAAGAAAATTCAACCTCGTGAAACACAGTACTGTAGATTGTTGTTGTGTTGAAATCCGTGCGCATGCGCAGATCCATCCATGCTACATCTCGGGAGCTTTTCCAGCCTCAGCGAGGCTGGTAAAGATTACCGAGACGTTCCGAAATTTTACAAGGATATACACGGAGGTACTTTCACACGTGCCGTAAAATGTTACTTTTGGTTACATTTTGTTACATTTGGTAAGATTTTTGTACGTGTGAATCGGGTATTAGACATATAAGAGCTTTTTCTCAGCTTTCTATATTTTGGCCATACAGTAGCTCTTGTATGGACTGTCAGTGGGAGTGCTACCACAAGCAGCAGAAGGTGGTTAATCCCTCCCATCAGCCAAGGAGTTGTCAGGACCAAAAATGAGGCATGTTGTGGCAAAATGGCTAAGTTGTAGCAAAAATTGAAATTCAAGTTATTGGTATTTTCATATACATGATTACTGTATGTGATCTTTAAAATGAGGGGGTCAGTCATTGAAATTGGACATTTTAAGCCTAAGTTACTGGAAAGTGAAAGTACAGCACTCTTAGAGTCAAGATAAACATGGTTTTGAGTAATTGCCTTCCAAAGTTATTAGTGGATACCTTGTTCAATAGAATTAACTATCAAAATAACGTTAAATAAACAATTTGTTGACTACTTCCAGAACTAATACTTTGGGATATGATTAATAAGACATTAAACTGTTGATCTATAGTGAAAAAAAAATTGAATTTTTAGTCATTTTTTTTTAGCTGCCAAATTTTATAGCTTATTTACTCAATACTGGCCTGTGCTTAACCATTTTGCCACAACATGCCTCAAATGCCGGGTAATTCCATAATCATCAATTAATTAGAACCTCTCAGACCAGCTTAAAAATCAGCCAGGTTCTGTGTCCATGACCTTTGTTGGAAATGTACCTATGTACAGTGTTTTGCTGTCGTCTTAATCAAGACTTGCCACAACACTGGCAAGCGATAGGGATGGGGAACCCCGAGAAGGTCCCCAGTAGTGGCACCCTTTCGAGAACTCCCAATTGGATTTGTCTCATGGCTACAACTCTCTCAGCAAATTTTTTCAGCCAGATAATAATTGATTTACACTGTATCTTGAAATCTAAACCTGGAAAAATACCAAGAATCTCATCAAGCGTAATAAAAGTTTAGGGCTTCAAGATGCTGGCTTTATCACAAAGACATTGATCTAGAACAACAACATATATTTACTACAGTAATGTATGCGCATAGAGTCTATGGTAACTTTTCTGTATACTGTAGGATCCATGCACGTATCAAATCAAGTCAAATCAAATCGTTTCTTTATTCTGGAAGTACGCTCTTTCAATACATAAGTACTGGTGTCCTATAAGATATCCAGATGCAACATAAAACATTTATCAAAGAAAATACATTAAAAAATAAAGAAGTGGTTAATTTATACTATAGAATGTAATGGTGTAAAATTTGCAGCAGATATCTAATGTGAGCTCATTCCTTAATTTACATGCTCTCTAAAGTTACAGTAGGTTCTTTTTCCTTGTATACAGTATTGTTCCAGGTTGGGATGATTAGTGTATTAGAAAATTAATTTTGTGTATTTATATTCAGGAGTCATGCTTTTTAGAGATATTTAAATGTCATAATTAAAATATGTTATCTAAACCACTTTCCTATCCATTGCATCCATCATAACCTCTTACTGGAGTCATTATGTCAGCATGTAACACCACTCTAGTAGAAGCATATTAATAATAATAATAAATAAAATCTTTATTTACACACGGAAGCTTATATATATCATCCAAGGCCTTGTTGCCATTTTAACAATATTAAAACGAGAATAGGAAAAGAATACCGGTAAAAGTATTGAAGGCACAATTTACAAACATAACAGCTCAATGAACATGCACATGTAACACTTGTTAATAAACATTTAGTTTACAAAAGATTTTTGAAGGTCTGACATTTGGTGCAGTTCTTACATCGTCTGTAAGATTGTTCCATTCTGAAGGACTTGAAAAGTACCATATAAAATTTCATAAAAGAATACATTGCATTAGCTTGCACATAGGCCATATTACACACAAGACCAAATTCTTAAACGTCTCATTAAAAAAACATAGCACTCCAGCTGAAACCAGGAAAGAAGAGCGGATGGAATTGAACCAGTGACCAAATATTTGAAAATATCTCCACGCTTTTATGCACACAGTGGCTACCAACAGTTTAGCCGACTGAGCAAGTTACTACAAAAAGCATGCTTTTCCATAAAATTGCTTCACTGTCTCTAAAATGTTGTCAATGCAATCATTGTACTATGAAGTTGTCCCCGGCGCAATAGGGAAGCCTCCCAGATTTGACCAACCAGTCAGCGTCTCTGAAACCGGTCAGTGATAGTGCGCATCGATTTTATGAAAACCAGGTTGAAGCTGCTTTGCAGTATTTCGCATTTTATTTATTAATTGGAGTAGAGTTAATAGGGTCCTGGGTTCAATTCCTGTGACGGTAGGACTTTTTCTTATGACTAAATAACATCCACTCCCTATGCCTCATAAAGATACTTCGCTGATAAGCATCACATTATTTAAGTTATTTAAAGAGGGCCCCTGAATATCAACCGACCTTCTAGGATACGCTGGAAGCTAATTGGGTCACCCTCTATAAATATGGTAGTAAAAAAATGGTATATACACGCCCCTCCAGAAATTATCTCGCCCCAGTCACCTAACCCAAAAATCACTTGCAAGTAGTTAAAAATCACCTAAAGTAGATACACCATTGGGTTGGTTTTGGGTCAGTCTAAATTTGAGCAACACAAACTTAATTTTAAGGGTTGCTGCCTGTTAGTGGAATTTCCCAAAATTCATATCCCTGCCATGGTTGCAGTACAAATAATTGCTACAGTAGTGATAATTTTATACGGTCTATTGGAACTCTTTCACTTGTCTGTGAATATCATTCCTATTGTAATTTTATTTTTTAAAGGTACGGTAGGATTGAACCAGTGAACTATGGATTTAAAATGGATGAATTTAAAGTTTGAAGTTCTGTGCTGTATAAAACTGTCTTTGTTGGAAAACTATTAATTTAATATGAGCTTTAGAATATTCTGTGATTTGATATTACCAGGGTACATTTGTTTTTTACATTCACAAGTCACTTTTATATCATGCATTTTAAATTGTAGGCTACTAATCTGTTCTTAACAAGTGTGAGTTGCACTTGTGACTATAGCACTTGTGACTATAACGCTTAATCAGTTTGACACTTGCTCTTGCTGTCTTCAGTTGTCCACCCGGCCTCCCCCCAACCCCATTGAGAAATTTTAAAAAAAGCAAAAGAAAGAAAGAAAAGAAACTGGTCACGCTAAACAGCTCAGAGGTTATTTCCAGGCATCTAACAGGGCATGCCCCGAACCCCCTAGTGTTGTCTCTTGATTGGCACCTTCCCCCCTGTCTCCAATTTTGGTAAAATTAATGTTGAAATGAAGAATATATTTTCAGTCTAATGTTAGTGCAAAATATCATTAGGCCTTTATAATCACCGCACGACGCGCGATTATCATGGCAACAAACACGCGCGTGGGTAATTCGTCACGTACGCTGACGGTTTATGGCCTGGTTGCTATGGTTTTTGTGACGTTCAGCGTGTAGGGACGCACATGCGCCTTGAATGTCGATGCCAGAGTAATAACCTTTGATGTCCCGAGATGTGCGTCCCTCTGTTGAATTGCCTTGGTACAGTAGTATTGCGTGCATGCAAAATAAACTGGGTAGTTGAACTCTTGCTATACTATTACTCTTTGATAAACATGTGTACACGTTAGTATGTCTTTCGTAGTGTTTTATCAAAATGACCTTGTTTTAATGCGATGTTGATTTTAGACATGTTGCAATCCTTTTCATTTAGGAAACATTGGTGAGTGATCTGAGAAAAAAATTCAGTGAGCAACAAGCGATTGGTCCCAAACCATATACTACACCAAAACCATTTACTACACCAAAACCATTTGCTACACCAAAACCATTTACTACACCCAAACCAATTGGAAATGGGACAAGAAACAACAATGGTGACAGTAATCCAGTCAACTCAAACCCACCACGCCCTGCAAAACCAACCAAGCCTTCTGCTACTGCTAGGCCTAAGGACTTAGGAACACCTGGAAAATTTGGTACACAACCAAATATATCAGAAGGTATCAAAGCTGTCCAACTTAAACGAGCACCACCTCCGAAGGCACCGACACAAAGGACAACCACACCTTCAGAAGATACAGAACTTTCTAGACTACTACATAAAAGAAATAGCAAAAAGATTGGTGGAATTGATAAGGAAAATAAGGATGAAACAATTGGCAGCGGTTCTTTTAAAATCAGAAGTGATTCGTCGTCCAGCACAAATAGTATTGCATCAAATGCAAGTAGCGTTGTGTCAGCTTTAGGAGGGAAACCTCAGAGAGCTGAGCTGCCATCAGTGAGGGACTGTGGTCATCGTCCTCCCAAGAGAGCTAAGCCACCACTTGTCCGATTACCAAAAGGTAAGCTCTTTTTAAAGTTAAATTTGTTAAATAAAAATTTATATTTATTTTTGAAAAAGCATTGTTAACAGTTTTTGGTTGTCTTTGAATGTAAAACAGTTATGGCAAACCATTACCTATGTTATGGCATAGAGTAGATGATGACGATGAAATTTCAGTTTATACATTTGTGCACCTTTACTTTGGAGAATTTGTTAATAATAATTCATTATCATTGCAAAGTATACTTGCTACAAAAACCCATCAAAATAAACATTCTGATTATGATTTAAAATTATTTTTTATGTAACTTCTTTCTAAAGATTCTCAGTTGTGTATACTGTAGGCTACCTATACTTACAGTATCTGTATATAGAAAATGACAAATACCATTTTACAATTTAAAAATTGTATTTTAAAACAGAATTTAACAAAGGACGTGATGTTGAGCATTAGAACAATACTATTATTTGAATATTTTATCGATAGACTCAATATATGCAAATGATTAATGATCCATGCCTGTGTGATATCAGTTATTTTGCTGCAAATACATAAAAGTCAATACTGACACTGTACAGTAGAGTAGTTAGACAAGAGGTCACATGGTCTAATACTACTGTATTTGTCATGTCATCAATAAACAAAATATAAAGCAGAGTATTCATTTAATTACTTTTAAAATACTTAAAACAAATTATAGTGAACAAAAATGAAAATCAATAATATTGTAATTTCTAAAACAATGTTGAAAATTTTGGAAACTAAATTGCAAAATACCGCATATTTATTCAAATAAATGCCCTGCTTTGAACACATAGAATAACAGTTTAATAACACATAGAATTTAATAGACTTTACATTTTTGTATTGTATTCTAAAAACTACTTTAGACCTCATCATCCAGATTTTTTACTTTGCTACAGTAGGCAGCAAACATTGTGTACTGTATGTGGAGAAGGTGCAAAATTTGTTAACTACCCACTTTGAGAAACAAACTTAGTGGCTGATCCGCCATTAGCGTTTTGTATGTTGAATCTTTTTTTTATCTCAATCAATTTAGTTTCGATTCTACCATAGACCATGAGAAAAATGTCTTAATTTCCTGGTTGGAGAGTACTGATTGTGGTATGTCCTGTATTATGCAACATATCTCACCATATCAATTATGATTATAAGCTTTATAACTCCTTTGTTGACACATACAATACTTTTCTCGGCGGATTCATTGATTTGTTGTATTTTTGTACTGTATGTACCAGTTGTTACATGGTATTATTGCTGGTATAAAATTGTAATGATCAGTACAACTTCCTCTATTCTATGGATTCCTGAGGGTTACTGGGATTGCTGGGATCTTTTGAGGATAAATGTACAAATAATGGAGTACTCAAAAGTAGAAGAATAACTCGACTTGTAGTGTCATCCCAAGTAAACAATACTGTATTACATAAATAAAGAAAGTCACAGTTTGGTATAGAAAACAAGTTTTGTAGTTAACATAAACACTATACATATAGAATGTACAGTATAAGGTTAAAACGTTAAGTGCCAATGTTATTTCGTGACATACAGTTACCTATACCACAATGGTTGCGAAAACGTTTTGTGCTGCTGGGATTGCACAACACTATGGGCGTGGTCCATGTTCATCATATGATTCTATAACAACAGGGTTATGAACATGAGTATTGGATCAACCCCCTACAGTATCACTCAGTTAAAAAAAATTCTGGATCCACCACAATTAATGGTAATCATTCGGCCCAGCCATACAGTACAGTAGATTCAAATGCTTAAACTTTTGACCCTTCAACATACGTACTACTCATCATCACTTTATTTAGAGACTTTTATTCTCTCCCTTCCTCATTCCAAGCTTGCTCATTCCAAAAGTTTAGTACACAGTAAACATGCTATAGTTGATATAAATCATCAAAGGTACATATACAGTACAGTGTTCCTTCAATGCTATAGTTGGGCATTACTGTAGATGTACTGAATTCTCTTTGGTAAAATAATTCATGGGGCTTGGGGCAACAGGAAGGTTTTATCATTATACATATTACGGGGCGCCATTTGGGACATTGATATTTATGTCTTTAAATAGGCATTCTGTTGTTACAGAAATAATTATGTACCACAGAATCATTACTGTCAAAATATTATGTCTACATAATAATTCTGTTGTTACAGAAATAATGTACCTCAAAATTATTACTGTCAAACTATTATGTGTACATAATTAATTCTGTTGTTACAGAAATAATTATTGTACCACAGAATTATTACTGTCAAACTTTTCTTTGTACAGAATTAATTCTGTGTTAACAGAAATAATTATGTACTACAGAATTTTTACTTTCTAATTAACTAATTATGTAGTACAGAATCAATTCTGTAAACTACATATTTTGTTTCTTTCACCACAGAATTATTTCAGTTCAGCGGAACAGAAATAATTCTGTGGTGACAGATTAAGTAGTACAGCTGATTCTGTTAAGTTGTCGTTTTGCGGGACATCAACAATATCCAAGGGGCTTTGAAGAATTTCCATTTACTTGGCCTACTGTATGGTAAAACACCAATTTAACTCTACTGTAGCACCTGATAGCACTTTCAGATGAGTAAGCTTTGAATATCAGTTTAGCCCTGGGGAGTGTCTATGAAGATGCTCTTTGTATTCAAGTTCTTCAAATTACTACCCACGATTTACTAAACATCTCAGAAGTAAATGTGCATACACAAGGAATATATGCAGTCCACGCGCTCAGAGTAGCGCTGTGTAATCGGACTTACCGTACTCGTGCGAATAAGCAACCTGTTTGAATAAGCGCCCCTCTCGAATAACCACTCCTCCTAACGTGATAATTTCCGTAAGTGCCCCGTTTGAATAAGCGCCCCCTTCTAATTTGAATAAGCGCCCCCCTCATTAGTTTTTAGCAAGTCAATAATCCAATCGATCCTGGGACCGTGGTTGTTGGCATGATTTGAGCTGTAGAGTGGAAACACATTCTTCTTCAGTCAATATCAAAATGAGGATATTTCTCTTGGACAGATGAGAGCTCCGATCCCTGGACAGACAGTAGGCCTATATTTCCAACTTTACTCTTTTTACATATTTGTCTATGCCCAGTCCTTCTCCTCTTTTTCTTTTTCTGACCTTTAGCACAAAAGAAAAAATACAATGATCCTGCCATCCTGCTACTCTCATTCGGCCATTGGCCAACAAGCTATTACCACTACCCACCACCACTAATTGCATCTGCTATTTTGCTGTTATGTAAATATTCACGCATTCTTGTCATGAGCCATGATCTCTGGGCGATTATCTTTTCTAACCACCATTCGTGATGTCCTTACTGTATACCGAAAGGTCCACTGATTAATCTCAGATAAGTATAGTATAATACATACTCCAAGTATTGAAATGCACACCATTGTGTTGGGATTTAATAGCATTCTGGCCATCTGAGCATTACTATACAGTATCTGGTGGAATCTGGGAAACCCCAAAAACTTTACTTTATGGAAGTCCTTAAATTGACTACCAATACCAAACTGCATGTTCAGTGTCTTGCAAAAAATTATGTAAGACCAATACTCTTATTGACAAAGAAAATGTATTGTTTTTCAATCTGAAAGATCATATTTTTTTACATACAAATATAAGTAATACATTAATGTAATTGTAATAAGTACTTTATAAAATGTCTAATAATTTTAGCCCTTTTTATCAACAGGAAAATATATGTACATACACTATGCATGAAAATGAAATGTGGTTTTTTAGACTTAATGCTAACAGTTTTGGTATATAATTCAGAAAATTATCTTCAAACAAAATCTTTGTTACTGTATGAATAATAGATCAATATACAGTACAGTAAATGCATTTTATTATCGTTTTTTGTATGCTTCACTGTTAAAAAGGTGTATCCAATAAAACTGATGTGCTCAAGGCAATTGTTTTGAAAAGTCTACATTTTTTAGATTCTACTGTAGCTTTTTATTTTGAACAGAAAGTACTTTTTACTTTTTCATCAAGCCTGAATTTAATACTTGAGCATTTTTATATACTATATATAAAAAAAAATTAATACACTGGTATAAAATAATCGTGTCGTTTTATTCTGAAAAAAGCTCAGGACCTTGACGCAATGTTCCCACAATGCCGCCCTCAACAGCAAATGTGCAATTATTTGTTTATTTACATGAATAGTAGCGTGTCTTGAAAATGACCCATATTTCTTGAATCAGACATTACTCAGAATTTGCAACCTGTACCTAGTGTGGAGGTGATGGTTTCACACTGAAGTTTAAAACACTGGAGCTACAGTAAAATTTACACTACCAAAGCATGTGATTACATTTTCTGTGGCAGATTTTGGGATAATTAAATTTTTTGTGATGTCACTATATTATATTCATTCATGTTGTGACCCTGTTCAACAATCCTTTCACCACTAATACACCATTTCAATAAATTTGAAATGAAAATTTCTGAGAACCTGGCAACTACCACTGGGGAACTTCCAGGGGCCTAGACTTCTAACTTGTAACAAGTAACCACATTGCTTTCCCCATTCCCTCTCTGACTGTCCCATCTTTTCTGATAATTATTGCCCCTCCCACCTAAGTAATTACTAAAATGCTCCAGTTTTCACTGCCACAACATATCCCACCCTGTTCTGTTTGCCTTTGGATTCTACAAATATAAACAGTAAAATCTTTAAATATCAATATCAGCATAATAAAAGAGCACTAAATCAGTATTTGTTTTGACCAATTGATAATTGGTAATTTCATCTATTGTAGAAATGTTTTTTTTTATTTGCATTTTATAAATCTTATTATTACACACAAACAATAGGTAGTGTTAAATAATAATATATTTAATGCAGGACTTCCTTGTTTAAATGTTTAGGAGCACTTCAAGTACCATAGAGTTGCTACAAACAGTACTTGCAACATCTTACAGTAACACGTTGACTGCCAGACCTTTTTTTATGGTTCCTTTCCGTGTGCCAAAACAAGTTTACATGTACAAACATAGTTTTTTGAAACCTTATCTAGTCATATATCATCAAAATGATGTGTCTATTAAATTGGCGGGAAAATATTAGGGGGCGAGTATACTCGTCGATGGCACTGTGATAGAACTTTTTACTGACTATTGTGAAGTGCGAGTTATCTCGTCCTCTTTTTGCATGGGTTGGTATATGTTCAAAGGGCGGTACCGCTCGAGTGTACTACCGGCAGCACAACAAACATACATATGTCATTTGTACGTTATCATCTAGGTGTATCTTCCCCGAACTACCAGCCGTTGAGTGCTCCTACATTGTATAATAAAGAAGTTATAAACGCTAGAATGTTCCCCCGTTTTTAACGAGTATACTCGTTCCTGGCACCCTCAGTAACACCCTGTGGGCGAGTATACTCGTCGCTGGCAGCCATCGTGTTAAATCAATACAATACTTACAGTATCTACAAACTTCTTACTTGAAATGTTTCCTTCGTGCACTGAGAATGTCATAGATACCAATGAAACTGCTATATCACATATTCATCTATTAAAGTTACTATAGGCATAGAGGAAAAACTTTTCCTTCATGCTGTAGGTCAGAAGTTAATTGTACTGCAAGTTTTACATGGGTACAATGGAGGTTATAATTTAGGCTTGGGTACATGAAATTAAGATGATAAAATGAGTTTGATACCTGGTAGGGTAAGCCTCTACCCCTAATTTTTGATTCTGGTATTCCTTTTATTACTTTACTTTTTGTTTTAATTTTTTTTTTTTTTTTTTAATGACTTCTGAGATCCTGTGTCCATAACCTCTCTTTTGACTTTTAAGTACTAACATTGTAAATGTGAGGAAAAGAGAGATGCCAAAGTTCAAACCTTAAATGATTAAACATCAAATTTGTTAACATAATTTTTTTATTTGTTTACAGCAACTCCACCAAAACCAAAGCCACCTGTCTTGCGTCCGCCTACCACAAAACCAAAACCAGAGAGGCAAGTTTCATTGATGTAAGTACTGCAATATTCTGATTTCATATCAAGACAGAGATTATAATTTCTGTAATGTTTTAAAATGCAATAAAAATGTAGGTTTAATTATCTAAACTGTAACAAATGTAGAGTGATTTCATAAATGAGAAAGATACTGCTTGAACTTAAAAGTAAAAAACTTACTTTAAATAAAATGTGAGGAATACTTCTATGTGGAAGGCAGTGGATTTATACAGTAGTTGTGGGTTTCTTCAAAAGATAAGTATGAGGCTACACAGGTCACTTTTTTGGTGAACTTGTACAGTAGACAAGATATTTGTCCATGCTGATTTAAAAGTAATTTTTCCATTATTTCTATAATTACTGCAACTTCATTGATTATGTAGTAAAATTAGTTTAAAAATTTGAAATACAACAAACAACTTTTTTTTTGTATTAGTCAACCAACATCTGATTCAGAAGAGGAAGATCAACCGTTGTATGATGATACGGAAGCAACACCAACACCTGTCCCTCGTAAGTTTTACATATTCATAGTCATGATAATTAAAATCTGTTTTTCTAAACTAGATAATTAAGCAATGTTCAAATTCATTCTTATTTCTCACATAAAAAAAATGTACATTGGTGTATTTCATGAGATACAGTATTACGTGTGTTCTTGGGACTAAATTGCAATCATCTGAACTGTAGTACAAAGTCGCTATTTAGGTTTTTGTCTCACGAATGCAATATGTAAAGGAATAATTGCAGAATAAGCATCAATGCAACAGAGAAAACCAACACCATCAATGCTGTCAACCAATTAGAGTACGAGTATATTGAAGTTTTGGTTGAGAAACGGGCACGTAGAAAGAATTCAGTTTCCGTGGCTGTTTTTGTACATGTACATGTGTCTACTGTACGTTCTAAATTAAAATCAATGTTGATGTTTTATGACACATACAGTACAGAGAGATGTCACAAACACGAAAACTTACACATTAACATTAAATACACTCAGCCCTTGTTTTGGCATGAACATAGATTCGGCCAACAATCCTTTCAGATTTAAGGAGAGAAGGTAACGCACAACATTCAGACATGAGCAGTTAAATTAATATGACGTTAAATTTTATGTCATCACAAATCAAAAGCTCCCTACAATAATGTCTGCATCTCCACCATACGAATGTGAGATGGTACAGTTTATTCCTATATGGTTGCATGCTGTAATTTTGCCAGGTTTGACTGTTTACAGTAGCTGCAGTGTCATTGAATTACAGATTTCCATCAAGAAGTGTACATCAATCAGGGGCGGATTTGGGGGGGGGGGGCCGGCCCACCCTCCCTTTTTGAAAGTCAAAAAAAAAAGGGGAAAAAAAGTAAAAGAAAGAAAAAGAAAAAAAATTATCACTCAAAAGGTCTTGAGAGGTTATTTTTGGGCGTCTCGAACACAGATATTTGGCGGAGGCATGCCCCTGGACACCTAAGCTTTTTTGGACATCTGTGGATCCGCCCTTGTCAATCGAAATTTGATTTTTCACTTAAAGTTTTTTATACACATCACTCATACACTTAAAAAACTTCGGTAGTTAATTGTTTCATCTTGAATTCAATTAATCCTCTTAAGAACATAATGTGTGCCACAACTCATTACTTTAGTGTTATACTAATCTAATTAACTTCCTCCAATCTGAGATATTGATCTCCCCAAATGAAACCTCCATATAATAGAAAATAACTTTAAAGTGGAGACCATACTGTATTAGATCTTTAATTACCTACTTTATTTTCAGGTTTAAAAAAAATCATTGATGATGAAGAATCTGGTAATTGTATGTTAGCTGTATCATGTGTTTAATTAATTTTATTTCCTACATTTATCTTCAGTTAATGTTATTACACATCAATGACCATAGTATTTATTGCATTGATCTCTATCTTTGTTTAATTTTCCATGCCTTCCTCAGTTTTAAATCAGTTGGTACACATTTGTTCATTATAAATTTGTAACATTTCACTGTGTTAATCCCTGTCCAATTGTGCCATTACATTGTTTCTACCTTGATGTTCACATGATTTAATATTAAATTTTGATGTACTGTATACTCTTCTCATTGGTCACTATCCGACTGTTGGACAATTTGTTTCTACACTTCCATCTGTTTTCATTTGTTGGTAAACATCAGTGATATGGACTAGCATACCTATTTCTTGCGTTGACTACTGTCTGATTTTACCTTTACATTGCTTCCACCTTTACATTGCTTCCACATCTCAACATTGTCATTGTATGACCACTGTTTAATAGAGATATTCCGTGAGCTTTGTTTACTACAGCCGGTCATGTGATATATAGTGGGTATTGCTATGGAGAATTTACAATGCGATCAGTGTTAGTATAGGAAAGGGTAATGTTATGGTTTCGAAAAACATACACCCACCATTACCGTGAGAAAAACTGGCAAGGAAAGACACTACAATTGTTCAAAATAGTGTTTATTAACTTATTGTAGCGTTCAGTGTGCTTGTATGCTTTTGAATTTATGTGATCCTTTGTAAACCGAAGCCAGCCTAAAAATCGTAGTGTGTCAAAATCGCAGTTCGCAGATAGAAGACTCCCGTGCATACAAATAGGCCGTAGACATGCAGTGTTTGGGGCCAGCATCTTTTGGAGCATTAGCTCTGGCAAAAATCTGAATTTCAATTTCCACAAACAATAATATTAATATAATCTGTGACCGAAACTGTCATATACGTAAGTTTAAACTTTATAATTCAATAATTATAGAATAATTAGTTCAATAATAAAATCAACCAAACAAGGCTTTATTACCAATACTCAGATAACAACAAGAGCGACCACTCTCTGATCCGCACGTTCCTCCACGCCTGAATACGGTGAAGAGCTAATAAAGTAGAAATTTTAAAAAAATTAAAATGAATGTTTGTACAAAAAAAATTATTACTCAGAATGTTCATTTGTACAAAATTACAATATAAAATTGAAAAAAATATATAATTTCTTTAAAATTAAAAAAAAAAAATTGAATACCAAGACACGATTCGAACTCTCAGCCTTAAGTTCTTTAGAACACATCCTTAACTGACCGTGCCATCCATGCGACGTGCCCTATGTAATGGCAATAATGTACAGTCCTTGCTGAAACCCCTGTTTTGTTTTGTAAGTGTAGGGGGAAGCCTGGGGTCCAACTTAAAAAGGGGTGATGAATGTTTGTTGGAAATCACCTCTAGTTTATGTGTACAAAATTTTCTGCACGTTCGCTCAAAAGTGGCGACGTTAGACACTTTTGAAGCTCTGGCAACAAGAGCAAGAACAAGAACAAAAACAGCATTGAGGTTCTGGGATCAGCGCCTTGCGCAGACCCAAAAATGTTCCAAGTGATGACACTAGAGTCTGCTCAAGAGTTTTCATATCTGCTGTAAAATATTAGAAATTAGACCAGTGTAGATACTTTAATTGCTTTAATTAATATGTGAATAATTATTTTTTGTGATAAGTCCTTATGGAAACTCCTCCCTATTACCAATTATTTAAGGATGTTTGTCATATTCTTTTAATTTAATTTTGATCTGAAGTTGGAATCCTTTTTAGTCTTGTTCAAAATGAAAAAGTACAATCACAACAAGGCATTCATAAGATCAATTAGATTTTCAATTTATATTTTCTTTACAATTTACAAAGGTGGGGGGGGGGGGCAATGTCATGATCCATTTACATTTGATAGATTAATTTTTATCTTTTGCTTTAATATGCAATGGTATCACATGATTCCTCTCTTTGAACTTTAAACTCTCAAACCGGATTTACTCTCACAATTTACCAGTGAGCTGATCTAAAGTTAGTGTCAACAGCCCCGTTGGGGCAGTAGGCACAAAAACAGACAATTAGCAAGATGCAAGGTCTAGGTGATAGCCCGAATTAAAGTCCTAAAATGGAGCTATTTTCATTGGCGTCCTTAAACATGCAAACCGAGAAACAACATAGAAAAACCCTAAATGTCTAACGATAAAACCCAGTGAGTGAAGTGAAAAACAAAGTCAATAAACACTTTAGAAGTTACTTATCAAATAAGAATTAATTATAAACAAATTGTTGATGATTCGTTTGTGAAGGCTCCGACATTATTTTTACTTGGTACTTACTTTAATTGTCAAACTTCAAAGTGAATTAAGAATTAAAACTGAAAACCTATAAATCATCATTATTTATCAGAGACTCACAAATGATGTCATAATTTTTTAGCCTACATCCTAGCTTCCATACTTTGTGTTTGATAGCTTAATATTGTATGTTAAATTATATCTGCCAATATTTGCAAAGAAATGAGGTTTTTTTTACTGGCAATATAAAAAAATGGTGGTAATTATACATATTTGCTCTATAAATGAACAACATTACAGTACTTGTATGTGATTTGATGATTTTATGTTATGTAGATGTGAAGTTATGTCTTTGAAAAAATTTTTTGTTCCTCAAGGTGATGTGTTCTTTCGGTTCGCATGTTGTGATGCTGCCTACTTCAGCTGCTTAGTACAAAATCCACATCCATGTTGAGCTTGGTCCAATAGTAAACTCACTTTCCACTTCACCGTTTGGGACTAATCATTGGCCTAAAGAAAAGAAAAATCCTGAGTTGTTCATCAAACACCCTTTAAGTTTCTTAAAAAAATCAGTTGTACAACATATCAAAAATTTCACTTCCTCCGGAGCCTGCATAAATAAAACAAAGTACATCTCGAAACAGTTTAGAATAGTAAAAAATTTCCAAGTTTGTCGGGTCCCTGCTGTACTCAATGGTACCAATTTTGATACCAATTTTTAAACTTATTTTGTGGTGTCATTTACAGGTGTTTAATTGAGCATTAACCCAGTCTTTTCATATTCTTTGTGTACAGTACATCATATTAATGTAAAACATTTGCATTATTCAAGAATATTCCCTTATTAGAAATATTCATACAAGTTTAATTTTTTAATCCTTCACTTTGTTTCATAACTATTATTAGGTACTGTATTATTGTCTGTATGTAACACGCATTACTCATTATAAAATCCTCATTAACATGTTATTTCATTGTCTGTCATTTAAAATTAAATATTTAATTATAAATAAATGCATTTATGTTGTTTTTAAATCCAATTTTTAAGTTGTCACATAAACATGGTGAAATTGTACTTTGTACTATTATGTAAATAAATTTACATTATTGAAGAATGTTTGTTTATCTTTTCAGCACCATTATCAAATATGCCGAATTACCAGTCAACTCCGCAATCCACAAATTCGAACGATTTTGGGGACACTTATGATATGGTGGTATGTATACCATAAAAACCAATCAATTTATAATATCTGTGTAAAAATATTTGTGAAAACTTAAAAAAAACACTGAAATGCCCATTCAAAAAGATTGTGTGACTCGTGTTTGCTTTCACCTCCATTCACCTTTGGAAAAGAGTAGAGGGGTTGTCTGCCATTGTACTGCCCAACCACCACCAGAAGCAACCCAGCACTTCAGACTTTTGTGGATTATCCTTGATGTAAATACACCGAATAAATCCAGTCCACTGTGTGAGCAACACACCATGTTTTGTGTAGTTATTAGAAAGGTGAAGCACCTGAATGTCTGGGTTTGGGTACTGACTTATACTTGATGTAGTTTTGAGATGAAACTCCTTTTTGGTGGAGGTGGGGATGAAGCATTTTTTAATCTACAAAGGCGCTACATAAATAAAACAATAATAGATTAGAATTTCATTGATTTTGTAATTTTTGAGTTGATCCCTATTATCTGTCATAGCAAATATTACTTAATGAGAATCAGCAGTCATATTTATGATGTTAACATCAATAATGTAATGCAACTGATTTACTAGTATATGTGGACTTTTTAGGGTATCAGCCACAAATTTTCAAGAATATTAAAATGCGTTTATAAGTAACCAAGTCTTTGTAGTAAATTCAAAATTCCCTTAGCAATAATTTGTCTTGAGTGCAAAACGTTGCTTATATTACAGGTACTGTTAAGATTAACAGCTTTGGAATTTCAAAGAAACAGGACAGGATGAAGATTTATGGACTACTTTTTCTTAGTTTTGCAATAATTTATCAGTTATCTGAAAATTATGAGTTCTCTAGAGATAATTAACCATTATTATCCTGATAGAAAATGATAAATTTCCATAGTATTTTTGTCTTTTTCCGTACATCCGTAATTAGGCAAAATTTCTGTAGCAACTACGGAAGTTTCATAGTACTTGAGGAAATCTGCAATCAAACTGACCAATCAGAATATGTAATATAGCAATATTCAAGTCTCACAAACATGCAAATATATGTATGTTTATGTTGTGGAGGCCACACCTAATAGCAACAATATTCAGTGGGCAGGGCTTGGAAATGTCCATTAAATTGTTGTAAAACATTAAAAATTTAAAAGGCTTATATCTACTATAGCACCAACCCCATGTCCTATGCAATACTGTTTCATTACAGTCCAGCCCTCAATTTCAATGCCTATAGTGCACATGGCTTTACAAACATAGTTTGATTTGTATTTTGACTGTTGCAGGGTGATACAGGTGAAGATATATACGAGGCAGTTGACTCAACAGATATCATGGAAGGACGGTTGCCTCCAGGGTAAGTTTATTTGCATATTGCTCATTTGAATATATAATTTTATTCATGTCAGCATATTCATTTTTATGTAAAGTTAATTACATTCAACACCATGAAATGGTGTGCCCTCATGAGACGACCACTCTCTCTCTCTTGGCCGCTTGAATAAATTCCTTCACAAGTTTAATCCTGTCCATCGTTGGTTATTCTGCTGTAGTGTATGTACTTTATTAATGGCATGTGTCCATCGTTGGTTATTCTGATGTGGTGTATTTACTAAGCTGACATTCATGCAGAACCAAGATAAACCTCCATGCTGCCAAGAAAGAGAGAGAGAGAGAGAGAGAGAGAGAGTGCGTCCAACTCTTGAGGGCACAAAATGGCATGGCGCAGCTTAAAAAATATATTAAAGAATGGTACATTATTGACAGAGCCGCATCTTATTCAACAAAAATGAAATGGTGTAACTTGTGCATTACATATCATCTATTCAGACAAGCAATCCACCTTAAACAAAAGAAACTAGCTGCTTTCAAAATGCTGACCCAGCACTAAATTCCTACTCTAAAACTCATATTACTCCATTTGCATACCCACTTGCTCAACTATACATAAACCCATAAAATTCTCCCATTCCTTCACTCCTGAAAATTGCCTAGCACATGAAACAGCCTGTAGAGAAGTATTACAAGCTTTCTATCACCATAGTATTATTCCGCTCTGCATAGCATCAAACACTGTACATTGACTGAATCGACAACTATTAAAAAAACTATATATCTTTAATTTTTAAGTGAAAGTAATGTACCGCAAGAAAGTCAAGAAGATGAGAGGGCAAAGGAGAAGCAAAGGAAAGAACTAGAGAAACAAAAGAAAAAAGAAGAGGAACAGAAGAAAAGGGAAGAAGAGAAAAGAGAAAAGGAAAGACTTAAAAAGGAAAGAGATGAAAAGAAGAAAAAAGAAAAAGAAGAAAAAGAAAATAGGAAAAAATTCAATGTAAGTTTCTTGATATTGAACGTAAAGGTTAAACATGAGACTAAACTGGTTAGGTTACTTGACGTCAAATGTCATTGCCAATCTGTGAGCCTCAGATTGATGCATACAGTATGAGGCAAAGTCAAGTAAACCAGTCACTTCTCGCAAAAAAAATGATTTTTAATTATAAATTTAGGGTTAAATGGTAAAATGAAAGTTATATGGTAAAGGAATCATACACTGTATAAATATCATAATGAAGTCACAATTAGTTTAAACATACAGCTGTTTGAAAAACAGTATTTGAGAAATCAGCCTTCAAAATTTAAGATTTGTTCTTTTTTCAGGCAGAGACCATCACCAAATTGTTAAAAAAATGTCGCTTTAATGTCAAAAATGGGGAAAATAACAGCATCACATGATGTATAGATAATTAACTGTAAAGTTTAGTTTATTGCTTTAGAATTTTGACATTCCAACATATTTTAGGCATTATCTCTGAAACACAATTTGTCACATGAGTGGCTGGTTGGCTTGTCTTCACCACATATGTTTTATTTATTTGTTAAATATACTAGGGATCTGTTAAGTGGCAATTTGTAAGTGTTCCCCATTGGGCACTGTATGCATTATAAACTGAGTCTCGATCATTAATGGATTTAAGTTATATGCTCACACTCTCCAGTTTTTTGATGACAAGTTTCTGTGGATTTCTCATATATGGGGATTGTTACGGTAAATGCCTGGCTACAACATATAAAACCAACAGAAAGAGATCATGGCAACAAATGTACAAGTATATACACATTTATTTACATCATCAAAGTTAAAACATTTGTACAATAGACAAAGATAATCAGAGGTGGCAGTTACCAAGACAATGTAATAGAAGTGAGACCTACCACACATCCTCATCTTGAATGGGCTCCTTAAAATTCCTTTATTGAATAATGTGTGGTTACTGGTTGTAATGACAGTACCTAGACTTACTACACCATGCATAGCTTCTGCCATGTTTCTATAGCATAGTCAGTATTGGATATTAGTGGGAACAAAAATTATGAAAGTACAATATAAAAATATAAAAATAAAAGTAACATAAAATTATAATACATAAAATATTAGAAATTAAACAGGGCCTTCACAGCATAATGATATATTACATCTATATGGGCAGGATGATATATTATCATACCCATACATGGGCAACATACCCATTATATGGGCAAACCACTATTATTGTTTCACATAAAGTTTGATAAAGTGGAAAGAGCTTTAGGATGTCATATCACATCTATGTATGGCATTATGATGTAATATCATACCCCTATATTGGAAAATCACAGTCATTTGTCACATAAAATTTGATAGTGTATTAAAATTGTGTTTTATAATGTCATCACATGGGCAGGGTGATTTCATATCATACAGTACTCGTATAGACGAATCCAAGAGAATTGTTTTGAACGGCGCCCTCTTTTGTCGCTGCCATTACTGGGGTGGCATTTGCGATGTTGGAAGATGTAATGTTGTGTTTTGTTTATCAACGCAGTAGAGTAGTTGTTGAGAAATACAGTTTTTTTGACAGTAGCAGCTGCATATAATGTCATCTATAGTTTATAATGAACCACACCGCATTGAAATTTTAGGAGTAGGGACTCCCCAGTAATGGCGTCGAAAAAAGAGGGCGCCATTCTTCTAGGATTCGTCTATATGGGAAAATTACCATCATTTGTCACATAAAATCTGATAGTGTGAACTGAGTTTTATGGTTTCATATCTCGTTTATATAGGGGCATGATGATGTCATATCATACCCATATATAGCCGAAATCAAAAAAATTAATTATGTGGACAGAGGTATACAGAGTAAAGCTGTTTTCGATTTTCGGTTTCAAGAGCATCTTAATCAACAGAGTTAAAATTCAATTGTTTATGACAATGTTATTGATACATCTGAAACCAGATGAATTTATTCAAAGTTAATGATGATGACAGTGATGATAATGATGACAACGATGGTGATGTTGGCAGGGATTTGTTTTTTAGTCATCACTATTTTTAATTACATTGTTATATATTATTATTAATAATGTTTTAGATTAAAGGAGAAATTACAGTTCTACAAGAGATGGTATCAACCGAGTCATATACAGCAGTAGATAAACTCGATATTGGATGTTACAGTGGAGAACCTCTGGAATTGATACGTAAAGATAATAATCCACAGGATCGATGGCTTGTACGAAACAAACAAGGCGTCTGTACGTAGCATTGTGCAAAATGTTTTTTTTTTCTATGTCTGGAGACATTGTAATTTACTGGTGGACATAAGATCCAATCTAAAATTCCTTGATTCAAATCTATTGGATTTTTGCAATAAGTGGTTGGTGCTCAAATACATATATTTAATTTTAAATTATCTAAAAATATATTTATTATGCATAATGAATCAAAATTCAGGAGTTTTACTAAAGAGTGCTGAGTTTATACTTGCCAAAAATTAGATAAAATAATATAATAATTAATAACAATAATAATACTAATAGTAAGCTTATATATGGCACACACCATAGTGTTGGTTTTAATTATTTTTGAAATGCAGAAAAGTACAGAATAGTAATATTGGAGGTAAAATTTCTAGTTTTTGTAATAATAAATATTGATAATGTATAATAATAACCTTTTTATTCATTACAATAAATTATTTTTCACTTGTTTGTTTTTAGATGGCTATGTAAAGATTTATTGTGTGGACAATTCTGAAGCACAAGAATTTTATGATGATGTAGAAGTACGTACTGAAGAAGAGTTTGAAGGTCGGTATACCTTTATATCTTGTAATTAGAACACGGCATCTTCATCATCATCATTTGTGCCATCACAATACATATGAGCTGAATATGATCGTTGATTCATTTAAAAGTCATGGATTGCCTTCGTTGTGAAACATGCTACTTACAATAACGATGGTATGCTACTGTAAGAATGGTTGATTACAAACATGTAACATCAGTTTTCGTAAGCTTGCGAAACCTCCCTAATAATATGCTTGTGTTTTTAGTACATTTTGATGGTAAAATATTAGATTTTAAAATGCCTATTCCAGAAAGCCTATGAAGTCATTCAGGCGTAATGAACGGTAACCAATGTCTGTTGACAACAGAGAGCGCCACCTGGTGTTGTGACTACATGACTGTGGTATTCTATAAAAACAATAATACATAGAGTAAAAAATATGTATATTGCCCCACGAACACATGCATGTGTTAACCCACAATACACATTGTCCCACAAATGCAAATATTTAGGTATGATTATACTGCTGTTATTGTGAAGCATTAGCAAAAAATACAAGTGGCAGAGCTTATCTAAGTTGGATCGTTGATCCGACCATTTTTGTAGGGACATGCGCCCACCCCCGCACCCCCTAGATATGCCACTGGTCATAAAGGCTTACTGTACATGAAATGTGTCCATCTAGCCATGTCTTAATAGAAAGAGATAAAGGAAAATGAACACATTCAATAAGCTATTGATGTGATGGGGGGAAACTATGGGGTGCAATGGACATTATCTGGGAGAAATGCATTTTCCCCCCCTTTTCCCTGGATGTAATTCCACTATTGCTGAAACAACTAGACACCTATCAACACGAGTATGTGAGCATCCCTCCGGGACCCGGCCTCATGTTTTTCAGCATTTGCAGAGCGCAGAAACATGCTCCACTGTTCTGAAAATAATTCACATCAGTTAAAAATAAAACAAGCAATTCATTTGTTGTGGGAAAAGCCTTTAAATAAACAGTTGTTTAACTTTAATATCACTCCATGTAATTGTTACCGCATGAATATTTAATAAACTTCATTAAAAAATATGCCTAGTAGTCATAATTATGTTGTTAATTTGCATACTCAGGTGCAATTCATTTGTTATATATATACTCGAATACTAAATTGTAATTGTTACTGATGATGAGAACTGGCTTTCTTGAAACATGTGTACTTTAAAATTATAATTAAAGGTTTGCTTCCTGTTCATTAAATGCCTCGTTCTTTTAATCTTGAGTAGACAGTTTGGTAGCATTATTTATATAAAAAAAAAACAAAACAATAATAATAATATAGGAGTTTATACTGCACTTTTTGGGCAATGGATGCAAGGTGTTGGTGATGGTTTTGGTCATTGTATCCATAATTTGGTAAAAGCCGGCACAAAGTGCAACTTCTCTACTCCCTGTTGAGTATATTCCAATTTGCGTGTTTGCAATTTAATGCAGATACAGACATTCAATGCCACATCACAGATACACATTTATACTTCTGGATTGAGAGAGACAAATGTAGGTATTAAAGTGCCTTAGCCAAGGATGCAAGCAAAATTCAGAATTTATTAAATGCAACTGATGCACAAACTAGCGTAAAAAAATAAATATACCGATATATCTGCTTTATGAGTCAATTGCCTTTACAGTTTCAGCACACACAATATGTTGTAACTGTTTTTATTTAATAATTTATATGTTTATATTCTTTTTTAGATGAAGAAGTTTATGATATGTGCTCTTGACAGAATCATTCCCAAAGAAGAATTTACTCATCAAATCACAGAAGTAGAATTAACCTAAAGCAAATGTTTTCCAATCCATAAACTAATGTTTTCCAATCCATAAACTAACTACATTCAGCTGCCATATTCTGCGAGGTGCGATGTCAAAGTTTACAGTTCAATTCATGTAGTATAGTGCCAGATCAGAGTTCAAAGTTCAAATCATCCAGCATTGCGGCCTACCAAAATTTACAGTTACTGCAAGATGGCAACAGGTTAATGGTTTAAGTTCAAACACACCAGCATAGTTGCAGGACAAAGTTCATAGGCTTATACTAGTAGGTGCTAATCACATTTTTACAAATTCTATATGTCAGTGAACTAAAACAAAGGTCATGTACACTAACAGATATGAAATACAGTCAAGCAGTTTATTATAAAACACAAGTTTTCAGGGTTAAAGTTTATGTCATCATGATAAAATATTATTTTTAGAATAGGCTGGCCTGATGTAGAATTAGCATCATTGTGCAATTTGTAGTTGAAATTAACATTTCCATTATAGATTTTTTAAATTATTCTAGTGTTTTATTTTGATCACAGTATTTGATTGATGTGGGACATAAAGTATCTTTTGAAGTAGCATTATGTCAGTTGATATTCTTCCATAGATAAACAGGAAGGTAGTCACTGCATGTGTGCTGATCTCATAGAGCTGTTATAGCAACCAGAGTGCTAAATAGGCGAAGAAGCAATGCAGAGTTGTGTATGTGTACTCAACAAGATAAGCACTGTAGGAAAGCGCCACCTTCAGGCTTAGTATACATACAAGGCTTGCAATCCCAAAACAAGCGTACTGTTGCTAAAATGTTAAACTGAGTCATTAGCATAGAAATGTGGCAGTACTGTATACCTTAATACAGAGAAGCCGTAATACATTTATTTACTCATAACTTTGGCAATAGTAAGTCGATTCCAGTAAATGATATATCATTTTAAAGCTTATGATGTGGAGAATATGAATATTTTAAAAAGTCCATTTTCTTGTTTTGGTGGCTGATGCTTGTTTTGACAAGGCAAGCACCACATAAACATAAGATCTCTGACTAACTATTATTTTATTCATCATTATTATTAATAATAATAAATTATTGAACCAGCCTAGCCAAAAAGAGAATGTCATATTTAAAAATAAAGTACTGAGAAATGAAAATTGAAATTGTGTTTGCTACACCACCACAACGCCCGAGCATCAACATACGGGTAACTTAGCTGTACTCAAAACTTTCATGTTACATTGAGGGAGCCATTGAAAATAATGCTTTAGGCCTATTTTGGTTGGCTGAATCTTGTTGAGTAAAGTACACAAGCACTGCATTTTTGGAATTTCAAAGTCATTGGAGTTAGTGCTTTAATATTCTTATTATAACTCTATCCAGGGTGAATTACAGGATCCTCAGGACTCTGGATAAATCCTACATTAAAATATTCTTTTAGTTTCTGCATGAATCTATGGCAGCCATCTTGTTGAGTAATAGATACACAGCTCTGCATTTTCGGAACCTCGAATGCGTTTTAGTTAGTGCTCTAATATTCTTATTATACTCTATTGCTGAAGATGCTTGTGAGGATAAATCCTAGATTAAAATATTCTTTTAGTTTCTGCATGAATCTATGGCAGCCATCTTGTTGAGTAATAGATACACAGCTCTGCATTTTCGGAATATCGAATGCGTTTTAGTTAGTGCTCTAATATTCTTATTATACTCTATTGCTGAAGATGCTTGTGAGGATAAATCCTACATTAAAATATTCTTTTATTTTGTGCATGATGATGCTGTTTGATGGTACACATTCAGCATAGTAGGCTTCATAAAGAGTATATATAGTTAAGTATGTAAAATAATTTATACAACTCATTTCACATAATAAACATATTTCAAATTTACAATAGTAGTTGCCAAAGGTTGCTTGTTAGCAATGTAACTTTCCTTATATTACCTACCAAACAATATTTGAATGAAATGTAAAATGTATGATGATAAAAAGTATTATTTCATTGTTGTTATATCATCAAAATTCATCCCAGTCCCATTATTATTTCCTCTTAAATACACCATAGTATGATCAGCTTCTACTTTTTGAATATTTAGTCCATGGCTGTAGGGGAGGTGGCGTCAAATTTAGGTTAAATACTACTAAAAAAATGACCATGAAGATTTCATTGGAATAGGGATTTAGTTCCAGGATTCTCAACTGTCCGCCTTCCCCAGCCTACACCCCAGATGTAAGCATTGTAAACATGTTGATGCTAAGAGGATACATGTTTGAGTGATTAATTCATTAGCTTTTGTTTAGAATAACATAGAAAATACTGTACCGCTAATTGTTATAATGTCTTGTTCGTTAATGCTTATTTTTATTAGTCACATATTCATCTTTGTTTAACCAATGCTGCTTTAATATAAGTATAGTATACTGTAAATGCATCCTAGATATTGTGTGAATATATACATTTTTATACTAATATAGTAATTTGCTATTTAACACAAATTTGATAATGAGTAGAGGAATCATAATCAAATGTCTTCAAAATTATTGTGTGTGGGTGGGGTTGAATAAGATAACATAAGTGTGGGCACAAGTTTGTCAATGTGGTCGCTTGTGAATCCAGGTGTGTGATGCTCTTCGTATATAAGAATTTATAATAAAATAAAATTAATCATAAATCAAATAGATATATACTGCATATGCTATATAGTTGGTTGACTATTTTTAATATAGCATATTTTAAATTTTTGCATTCCAGTTCCAAGTGCCAATTCATAAATCATACAATCTATTGTAGTCATCATTGTTTCTTTTAAAGTTTGTTCCACTTAATACCAAATAATAGTATTTCAAAAGTGTTAACAGACAAAAACAATATTGTTTGATGTTAATGTTGTTTGATGTTATTATAGATTGCACATCTTTTTTATGCTTGTAATGCTAAATGTGTATAATCTGATTTATATGACTATGAATTTTATGTATATTTATTAATAAAATTAATTTTTCAATAGATTTAATGCATTTCCATATATATTTTGCATGTGGATTATCTATGATATATGTATTCTGACAAATGACCGACAGGGTGCTTAAGTCCCCATGCCCCCACTAGTACTACAACTGGTTGTACAACAGAATATGGCAAATAAATACTGCGTACAAATAATATTATAATTTTTTGTCTTTATGAAAAGAGTTGATTTAGGATTCCTTTGACCTCGTTCCTGAACCCATTCCAAAATCAATCATTTATCATGACATTCCACCCCTAATTGCTTATCAATACCTCTGTAATTTAAAACTCTGCAGAATGTATGATACTGAGACATGTTGTGTTCTTTGGAGCAATGGTAATAAATGTACTATCCCTCCAGAAATGTGTACTTTGTTGCATTTAGTAAACCTATCTGATAATTACTGGTAAGTGTCTTGAGCTCTGACATCATAAAGCAACTCATTACCTGTTTGGTTTTTTTTTATCTATAAAATATGCATGTTATGTTTATTTCAGTTATTGAATTAAGCAAATTTAAGCTATAGTGACTTTCATAAATATATTCCTATGCTTGTCCTGTTTTATTCATATCTATAGTGTTAGTTTAAATTGGATATTTTAATATATAAATGTTGAAACTTTTTTTCTATGTAACGTACATACAAATAAGACAGTCATTACTATGCACTTTATCAACAAAGATAAATATGTATGATATACATTTTTACTTTAGGTATTTTTAATCTAATAAATTAATTAAATTGCATCATTGTTACATTTTTTTCTGTGTTTTTTACCAAAGAAAATTTTATCTTTTGGCCTACATTTTATCAGTGTTTAATAGGCTCATACATATTTTATTTGTTTATTTTTCTGAACAGTGTACCCTGGCCCTGGGGGTGTTTTATTTTTCTGCATTCTCATGAATTTAACCCAGGACATTGAGATTTGCAAAGCAAACATACTGTATTACCACCAAGCTATAGTTCCACATATTTTATTTTCTTTGTCATTTTGCTGTTTAAATAATTTAAAAAATTATGTTACCATAATTTTTGAATTGAGGTAGCGCCTTTCTAGATTTCACCTCAACTATTTTGAGAGAGCAGCTTAGCTCAGTCAGCTAATCTGGTGTAGCCACTATGTATGCGCTGAACTGTGGAGATCTCTGGTGCCTGTTCAATTCACATCGCTGCCTCTCCTTGTGGTTCAGCTGGCGGGCTGAAATACAAGTTACAATAGTGTACCGTCTTTCGGATATGATGTTTAACTGTTGGTCCCATGTGCATTTGTGGTCCATGTGCACGTTAAAGAACGCAGTACTCTCTTCGGAAAAGAGTAGGGGATTGTCTCCCGGTGTACTGCCCAATCACCACCAGAAGGACTCCGTTAGAAATAAGACTTCTGATGAACTTTCGCAGGCTATCCTTGGCGTTTACACCAAATAAATCCAACCTTATTCTATTTTAAATTACTATTAGTAACAACAAATATGCAAACAAACTTGTAAATGAGACTACTCGCTAGCACAACTGGAGTACATGTTCTTAGAGAGTGCACGTGAGTAAAAGTAATTCTTTAAAACACAGGTGGGCAAAGTAGTTTCTAATTCCACATTTGAATTGCTTAATTTGTATATTTAAGTAATTATCTTGAAATAAAAATGTGAATAACATATAATTTTCTCGAAATAATAATATATTTGACTGCAAGAATATTAACAACTACAAACTTGTATTTACCGGAAGGTGTTCGTGACAGTTATTCAAAACTGCTTCCAAGATAAACAATTAAAGGACTTGAGACTAGCAGTTACGGTACCTTTGACAAGGTTCTACACGTACAAATACACTCTTATTGTGATAACATTGTGAAAACTCCTAAAAACTTTTAAACATTCAATTGCTTTGGGGCGGATATATGACATTTTTTGGTCAAGTGCGGAAAGAATCATGAAACTTTGTTCAAGGGGTTTTTGTGTATGCCGATTTCAAAAATTTCGGAATCCACGATGTTACGCCAACCGTTCCTGCCGAAAATGTGGAAAATCAAAATGGCCGCCAAAAACACAATTTTGGCAGTTTAAAGGCTCTAAGTGCCCATATTACCATGAACTTTGTGTCAATACTTATGTTCTTTAGTTCAAGAAATCCAATAAAAGATTATCAAAAAACAATAACGTACATTTTCATCGTGAAAATGCAAAAATAAATAAAATATTCAAAATGACCGCCAAAAAACAATTTTGGCAGTTTGAAAGCTCTAAGTGTCCATATTACCATGATCTTGGTGTCAGTTGCCTATGAATCCAATAGAACATAATTAAATACCATAAAATATCTTCATTGTATGTCATGAATTCTTAGTTGACGTATTTCCGAGCGGTAAGGTAATGATTTGGAATCCCTTTTTGACATATAAAATACAAACACAGTTCACAATGTTGTAACACAACTCTCAAATAAACTTTTATCTGTATAAACTTCAACAACAATCCGGTATCAAAATAGCACAACATTCACATAAACATGTGTTACAGAAAGAGCTCCTCGAAATACAAGCTCTCACCATATATACATTAGCCCTAGAACTCTCATTCAAGAGCATTCTATGTTGCCTAAGTCGGAAGTTCCTCATTGGTCACATTACATCATAATTAACCAATAGGCAATTGCTTTTAGTATCAATATCTAGAACCTTTCACATAGTCTCTTATGTTCCTATAATTACCAATGTGGTTTACAGTGTTTGGCCAAATAAATGCAATTCTAGAATGTTCTATGTAATAAATATGTTACAATAAGGAAAGGAATGGTAATTTATTACATGTAAAAATACAAAATTAAATTTGACATTCAAAATTTCCGCCAAAAAAAAAACGTGTTTTGCTATTAAAACGAATGCCCTTAGTACCATGATCTTGGTGTCAATACCCATGTATTCTTAGCTCAATGAATCCAATAGAATGTATACAGTATATCAACTACAATAATATTTTATTGTAAAAATAAACTATAAATTCAAAATCCAAAACAAGTTTTAGGTACTTAAAACGTTTGAAAATAAAAATGGCCCCTAAACAGGGGGCTATAGGTTCATCGATTGCATTGATCTTGTTTATCAACATCTGCTTTATATTACGTATTCCGGTGCACTAAACCCGAGGCCGAGGTGGGTGAGAACTCTCAAGTATAGCAGCCGTCTCCGACCAATTGTTACCTATACATTTCAGGTAACCCTGTTAAGACTCCTTGTCGGAGAAAAAAAAGATAAATTAAAAAAAAAAAACAAAAAAAAAACCACTGCCATAGTGCTTTACTGAACTGAATGTAACAGATACAGATGGATATATACAAATGGTCCTTAATCCTAACTCTCACTCTAAACATGCAATTATGTCGAGGTGGGTGGGAACTCTCAAGCAAGCAGCCGTCTCCAATCTTGCCAGCTATACTTGGATTTCTTGCAGAAGAAATGGCACTCACAGCTGCCATAAACCGTGCAGCACCACTCAACTTAACTAGACTAAAATTTGACAGATAGAGTTAGATCCACAAATTTCAATGGTTCTTATTCCCACACTGAGTGTTACTGAGGATCTAACTTTTAGACACAAATTCAGTTAAATTTTAGTCAGACGTCCCAGCCGAGCCATAACTGTAAGAAGCAGGGACTAACGCTTTCCACTTATAATTAGCCAAACATTTCAGCTGAACCCTGTACCCATTTTAGTTCACCATGTACCCATTTTAGTTTATATTACAATTGGTTTGAAACTAAAGGAATGGCCAGAATGCGTCATCATTTCCTATATCAGACCTCTCCTCTGGCTGCTTCTCTCAAAGAACTTTATGTATTTTTTGTAAACCCCCTTGTACAGTAGTATCTGCATAAAGCTGTAGTCGGGTAGGAACAGGGGGTTCCCATGCACCCCCAGGATATATTTTTAACTAACATTTTTGTAATCCTCCAAGTGTCTCATGAAAGAATTTTGATGTTCCCATAAAAAAAATGTCCCATGGGGTTGTTTGGTGGCCATATTGGATTTTCAACAAAAATCATTAACTTTTATAATTCATTGACTAAAAATCATATAAATTTAAATTAACCTCTAAATGTATATAGTAAGCAGTGCTTATGTTCTTAATAAAAAAAATAGACTTCGCATTTACATTTGACGGCCATTTTGGCGGCCATCTTGGATTTTGAATGAAAATCATTGATTTGTATATTTTAATAACTAAAAATCATATTTAATCAATTGAACCTCTAAATTATAACAGTAAGCAATGTTTATGCTCCAAATATAAAACACTGACTTCCCAAAGCATATGGCGGCCATATCGGCAGCCATTTTGGTGGCCATCTTGGATTTTCAATGAAAATAATTAATTTGTATAATTTATTAACTAAAATTCGTAAAAAAATCAAGTGAACCTCTAAATGTATATAGTAAGAGGTGTTTAAGTTCAATACAAAACCTTGACTTCGCAATACATTTGGCGGCCATTTTGGTGGTCATCTTGGATAAAAAAACGAAAAAAACAT